TGATTCTAGAAAATATCGGCTTGGGGAGACAATTCCAGAAAGCGGCATCGTTGGGAATTGTGTAAAAACCCTACCACGGATTTCGGGTGAAAAATGGTAGACGAATTTGTTTCGAAGTCGTTGATGGTGGTAATATAATGATGTCTCTTATCATCATGACCGATAGTTTGAGCGTCTTGTTAAAACTGGTGATCACACTAGATTATGTGCAGAGGGAAGTTGCGCATAACTTACCTGACATGTTTCTGTAAATGGTTGACAGAACAATGATTATGTGTGATAGCAAGTAAACAAAAATTATTAAGAGTTGCAAAGAACAGGAAATTGTGGGCAGCCATGATCACCCACGTCCAGTATGGACATGATACATGGAAGAAGAAGAAGAATGAAAGGTAACGTTCTACGTATGTAGATTTTCATATAAATACCGGAATTTCAGTTAAGGGAAAATCAGTTTAAAAGACATGAAAAATAGACCCGCGTATTTCTTGATGATTTTTATTCTTTTTAATTGTCGTCTGCCGAGGAAATAAGTAGCAGGAAATTAGAGAACAAAATAATAAAAAATGGCTGACAAATATGGGTGTATCAGAAGAAAGTAACCATTGCATTTTCAGCTATTTAGACATCAGTGTCTTTTGTTATTTCAATCAAAACTGACATTTTTGCAGCATATTTCTTAGGTTTTATCAGTATTTTTGTGCTTGTTTATTTCTGTTTTTTTTTTTCTGCTTCATTGTTTTTATTCCTTTCTTCACAATTATGTCAAAACGAAAAAGGGATAAATTTGCGTTGGCTGAGCGACGATACTATAGAAAAACAAAATCAAAGTACGGACTATAACCACTAAAAACAAAATAATCGGAAAAAATAAGAGAATGAGGAAAAGACAGACAAATGGTAAGCTCTAGTCGTCGTCGTCGTCCTTCTTCTTCTTCTTCTACTACTACTACTACTACTACTACTTCTTCTTCTTCTACTACTACTACTACTACTTCTACTACTACTATTAGTATTACTACTATTACTTTTTCTTCTACTACTACTACTACTAGTATTACTACTACTACTTGTTTTTCTACTACTACCACTATTACTACTACTAATTCTACTACTACTACTATTTCTACTACTACTACTTCTTTTCTTCATATACTTTTCTTCTTCTACTACTACTACTATTACTACTACTACTTCTTCTGCTTCTACTACTACTATTTCTACTACTACTTCTTCTACTACTACTACTGCTTCTTTTCTTCTTTTACTTCTCCTTTTACTTTTCTTCTTCTTCCTCTTCTACTACTACTACTATTTCTACAACTACTTCTACTTCTACTACTACTACTATTATTACTACTACTTCTTCTTCTTCTACTACTACTATTTCTACTACTACTACTACTTTTTTCTTCTTTTACTTCTTCTTCTTTTACTTTTCTTCTTCTTCTACTACTACTACTACTATTTCTACTACTACTACTACTATTACTTCTACTTCTACTACTACTATTTCTTTTCTTCTTCTACTGTGTACCGCGTACCTTCAACACGTTGACGATCCTTTGTAGCGCTTAATATATTTTGTCATTTTGTTATCTCTCCTAAAATCTACTCCGCCATCAATTTACTCAATTTCGCTAGGCAGGTTATGCATTGTTTCTCTCTTAACGTCTTACCTCCAGTCTTTCCTGAGAGTATTAAATTTTCCAAGCCATCTTTCCTCATTATGTACCTTAGAAATTTCAATTGTCTGTTCCTGATTTTTTCTAAGACTTCGTCGTTGTTCTCATGTTTTGTCCATAGTATTCACAGCATTCTACTGTAGAAGCAAGTTCCACTTGCTTCAAGTCTCTTCTTCATCTGTGAAGAGATTGTGCAGTCATCACTGCCATATAGGAGGATTGATATTACATTACATTTCAGTACGCTTTTTTTTTGCTTCTCACGAAATATTCTCAGAAGTACCAGCAAACACCAAAAATATTCTTTTTTTTTTTTTAAGGATTTCACCCCAATAAAGGTGATGATGCCCCTAAGACGCAGCAGCTTACAAGGTGTGAAAGAAAACGATAAGACTTTACTGATGAGAAGTGGGGAGAAAAGACAATAAAGAAACCCGATTTAGAAAGACAGAAAATGAAGATTGGTGATTCATTTAAATCTTTGGAGATTTTGGGAAGCTAAAAACTGGAATAGATTTCCACAGGCTAGACGTGAATGTGTTGCTAATTATTTTGTACGGATGTAGAGAGCGATTATATCCGTTATTATGGGAGGAATTCCCGAAGGTCGCAACCAGCCACTGTGTAGACCGCAAAGAATATCAATGTGGTCCGCGGTGGTAAGTAGAACGAAAGAAAACGACGGGGTCCAAATAAGGAATATAAAAGACATCATTTGGGTGGACCGTATAGCGCCAGGAAATAAGACCCCCAATTTTCAGCCTTTCATACTGTTTCCTTTTAATGAAATAACGGGCTATGCAAATGGGCTTGTGGCCGAATTATTAGAACGTTAGCGTTCTGACCATAAATTTACCCTATATGATTTGAAGATATTTTTTTATAATTTTGGTAAATATATCTGTTAAAATGAGATGCCGGTGTTATTTTAATCTTTGCCTCATTCAGACAACAATTTGTCCATCGCACACTCTATATGAGTTCTTGCCCAATTTTATTTTTTATCCAGAATGTAAATTGATTTCAAATGGATTTACTAGAGAAAATCATTGAAAATTTCAACATGGCCGATTCCTAAAGACTACCAGAAGATATCAGCTTGGGAAGATAATAACGTTTAGTATATCACGATAAACTAATGCATAATATGGGCTTTGGAGAGTGATGGTTACCAATACAGTTATTATATTTTCTTAAGCCGCCCATTAGGTTTATTCTAGGAAGATCGAAAAGATTTATTATGGCAATGTGTTGGACAGGGTTATACTATAAAATTATTGAATGTTATGATAATTGTTTTATTTATCAATAATTAATGTCTGCTTTAACGTCAGATAAGTTATATTCTTATATTAGATGATGATTTTACTAATGAGTTTGCAATTGAAATGCATTGTTAAAATTTCCGTGATATAAATATACTGAAAATGAGAACACAATAAAGGCTATCTAATACTCAAAAATAAGGGATATTTTCAAAATCAGAGTGAATTACTTTTACTTATGTTAGCTAATGTAGGTTGGTGCGGGTGGTGTAATGTTTAGCGGTTCGGAACAAAAACTCGACAAACTGAGTTCGAATTCAAGTAGAGTTCGTTCCATTCACTTTTATTCAAATAGTCCTCCCCGACCCGTGCACGCTCTAGTTTAGCTATAACTATAAATATTTGGTAGAAAAGGCTTTTCTGCTTTTGTTAGCAACCAATCTAGAGGAGAACACTTTGATTATTCGAACCCTGATAGATGATATAGGAACAGGTGGTCATTTTAAGGCAGGAAAACCCTGACAGAAAAGCGTCCTCTGTATGACGATAAACTAGCCTCTGGTCGGCAAGTTTTGAGGAGCTGGGAATCGCTTCTTAATTGCTGTTGTCCCCAGGTACATCGTGAGCCGGGGACTGGTGTTTAGCACCTGTTAAGGCCTCAGCTAATAGTGAACACCCAAACTGGGCTCCTGGAAACACTATGAAAGTATAAAAATAGATATTTACAGTGAAATATCAGTAATACATTTATATATATATATATATATATATATATATATATATATATATATATATATATTGCCAACAATTCATTTTTGTAAAAAGCAATTTCGGCATTAAAAAGAGTTGAAATAACGCTAATCAAACAAACGAACATATTCTAAAATTATTGTCAGCAATAAATGACCCATTAATGTTGATATGTCGTGAAACAAAATAAACCAAAACCCAACCTGACAGAAAATCAAACATTCCTCAGACTTCAGTGGGATCATAGCAAGTTATGCGTATTATACAGAGGTACCAAGAAGATAGTTCTTATTAGTGAAAAGATTTGCCTTGTTACACCCAATATTTTCTCGCGTATTAATCTTTGTTTTTTCTTAATGTTCTTTGTACTTTATTTTAAAAGATAGGCTGAAATTATTTAACATCAGGTTTCCCGTTGATCGTGTCAATAAACAAACAGTTCTGCATAAAAAAAGTCTAGTGCATTTTGTTGTCAAATTAAAATTTCTTGACTGTAACCTTATCAGTCTGACGGCTATCTTGACAGTAAAAGGAAATAAAAAAAAATAGAAAATAACCAACTCGTTTTTCACTGGTTGGAAAACAATTTACTCACTACGAAGATGCTACATTGTAATCGATTAGAAAAAAGGAAGTGACGTCCCACTAGCGGCCTGCTTACAAACAGAATTCTTCATAACCATTTTGGTTTTCACCAGTCGAGGCGCAACTAAATGCACCGAAACAAGTTCGTATCTTTGTAGTGAGTAAATTTTCTTTGTCTATATGCAAAAATATACTCTCTCTCTCTTTCTCTCTCTCTCTCTCTCTCTCTCTCTCTCTCTCTATATATATATACATATATATATATATATATAGAGAGAGAGAGAGACAGACAGACAGAGTGAGAGAGAGAGGAAGGAAGAAAGAGAACAGAATAAGATTGATAAATGTGCATAAAATACTCAGATATGAAATATATATATATATATATATATATATATATATATATATATATATATATATATATATATATATATATATATATATATATATACAGACAAAAGAATGAGATGAACAGAATTACACACACACTCACGCATATATATATATATATATATATATATATATATATATATATATATATATATATATATATAGTATATAATGAGACCGATATGATGTTTCATAAAAACAAATATGAACAGGCTTATATATATATATATATATATATATATATATATATATATATATATATATATATATATATATATTCCTTATCTATTCAAGTTTATTATTTTTGTGGTGGAAATCTCTTGTTATGAATGTCGGTAGTAGCCTGTCAAAAGGCATCTCAATATCTTCTCGAATGTCAAGCCTGCTGGCTACGGGTCAGTCGTTCAATCTTGCCGGCCTCCATTCGCCTCGGAAAATGACATTAATTGTAAAACAGAGACGGCAAAATATATAAATGGCAAGAGAAAAATAAAATACATATATTCCGGAAGATAACACGTACGTAAAAATCGTACAAGATGCGTCAATTAATCCCTAAAAGAATATCAGATATTTTTTTACTGTATTATTCTATTTTCATTTTATTTTCTTCTATTTTACGTTGTCGTCTGCTAAATATGATTTGATCTTTTTTTCACTCTTGTCTGAGATTTAAGTAATTATTAAAAATTACAGTTTATTCCTTTATTTTTTTTATCTCAATCTATTTATATTTAAGTCTCTTCATATCTATTAGTATAAATCTAGTATTAAGAGGGTACACGTGTTTGAGTAGACAACACTGTATATTTTAAACAGATAAATTAATGTCTACCAGAATAAGACATGACAAAAATGTTTTACTATTGAAAACGTGCCTTCCGACAAAAATTGAACCTGTAATTGAATTCAATTAAATTGAGCACGTAAGTGAATTTCAGTGCCATGAGTGATACACGCCTAGGTGATCATGTATCTTTCGATACATGACTGACAAAGTAGATTTTTCCCGCAGTAGGCTGCCATTTCTTTCTGCGGTAGACCAGTTGCCATCCAAGGCTATAGAACTCGGTCTGTTCTGCTATTTATCAATAGCTGGGGAGGAGGAGAAGAGGTTTCATAAGTTTCCCAAGGTTATTAGCACGTAAGTAAAATTTCAGTCAGTTATGTGCCATGCGTGATACACGCTTAAGCGATCATGTATGTTTAGATACATGACTGACGAGGCAGATTTTTTTTTCCTGCGGTAGGTTGTCATTTCTTACTGCGGTAGTCCAGTTGCCATCCAAGGCTATAGAACATGGTCTGTCCTGCTAGTTACCCATAGCTGAGTGGGGGGAGGGAGAAGAAGAGGATTCATACCTTACCCAAGGGTATTAGCACGTAAGTGCCTGGCAGAGATCCACAAAAATGCAAAAAGATCTAGAAGAGTTGCCAATCAAGACAACTGTCATTTCTCATTTTGTTAAGAAAGATGAATCAGTTAAAAAAATCGTCCCAAAATACTTTTCAATTTGTGAAGAACAGAATGCCAAACCCGATCAAGTACCTTCGAGATGTGCAAGTCCCGGGCTTCCCCATTCTTATGTAAAGCTTGATTATTTGATTAATAATCGTTAAAACATCAGCAGTTGATTTAGAAAAGCGAAAAGCCATATTGGTTATCTGAAAGAAGACACTGGGATGTGAGATGCTTTACCAATTTAGACTTGATTAAAGCTTCTAGTACTTTACGTCTAGTACTTTACTCACATCATAGTGGTAAGACTTTTAGGCTTGATTTCACGAGATAAAAACAGGAAAATAAATATACGCAATACAGAAAAAGCATAGTAATTACATGTCATTTTCATACAATTTTATTTATGTATTTGTGTGTATTGGCGTGTGTATTTTTCTTTACCTTACAATTGTGTTAATGCTATAAAAGGGAGTCATTTACTCTGTAATATTACAATTCATATCACAGGAATGGACAGTGAACCCCTCAAACAGGGGCAAAACATTATAAAGTATAAAAATTCTAATAGTAAAATTACCTGCAATACATTTTCATAGTTAAAAATTACCAGGAATACGTTTTTGTAAAATAATTTACTAATGCTCCCAAGAAAATTAAATTTTGGCATTAAATGACCCATAAGAAGCTGATATACTGCTAAACAAACGATATTTATTTTTTTAAATACTACCAATCAAGAAACTTTTTTCAAAATACTGTTTCTTTTTATATATTTCAATTCCTGAGAAAAATTAAACTGATTTCAAAAATATAATGAAAAAATTATTACCATATCAAACTTTACTCTTATTATTGCAAATAAAAATTTTGATTTTTCATATCTATTGTAACTGAGTTCTCAATCTAGCCTGTGAGTCTTAAATTTTCCGAGCCCTCTTTCCTCATCATTTGCCGTAGACATTTCAACAATCTCTTTCGGTTTTCAAGTATAAATTTCATTTTTGTTTCCATTTCCTCTAAAACTTCGTTGTTTCTCACATATTCGGTTCATGGCATCCCCAGCATCCTTCAGTAGAACAACATTTTTGCGGCTTCAAGTTTCCTCTTCATCCTTGAGGAGATTGTCCGGCATTTATTACTATACAAGAGGGCTGATATTATGTGACCATTCAGTAGTCTTTTCTTTGTTTCGATGCAGCCCGTTAATAATATTTTCATTTTTTTTATTCCATTAACTTTCAGTACTGATATGATTTACTTTTCCCTTTTTGGAGTCAGTGCACTAATAGCAACATAAAAAAAAAAATAGGACCATCCTTATCGAAGTGAACACAATTGGAGACTTAATACTAGGAATCTTATTCATTTAAAAATAAAACTGGAAATAAATTTATTCTTCAAATTAGAGATTTTAAAATGTGTTTGATATAACGGTTGACGTGATAATTAATAAACATACTCTTTTTTATAAAGCATTTCACCCCAAGGCGACAGTGCCACTAGCACGCAAGAGGTTACAGAGAGTGAGAGCAAGAGTCAAGAGGGTTGTTTGATGAAAGGATATAGAGAAGGACGAGGTTCAGGATCAAAGCATCAGAAGATGTCGATTACATTTGAATATTTGAAGATTATAGATATCATGGAAGCAAGTAAGTGGAAGGGAGTTCCACTGACGGGAAGTGCAAGAGAAGAAGCTGTAGAAGAGGCGGTTAAATTTAACTATTTCGACAGTGAAAGGGTGAGACCGAGATGCCAATCTAGTAGCACGCTTAAATTCATGCAGTTGGGATTCTAGTGAAAGTAACTCGTCAGAGCAGTTACAATGAAATTATTTGTAGAAAAGACAGAGGGAGGCGACGGCACCTCTGTAAGAAAATGACTAATTGGATGCAATGCTAAAAACACTTTCTTTATACGTTCATAAAGCGTGGAAATGAATCGTATAACTGAGCGCAAGTTGTAGTTAAGTAACTCCATTTGACTTCCTAGGGTTTAATTAGCAGTATTGTTATAGCAAAACTCACGCTACGATGTGTCGTTTTTACTGTGTTCCAGTCATAAACAAACACACCGTTATATAATGTGTTTTTTTATTGTTTGGTAGCTACCATAAATGTGTATATATATATATATATATATATATATATATATATATATATATATATATATATATATATATATGTATGTATGTATGTATGTATACATATATGTATGCGTTGTTATCGGATCGGTATAGGGCTGGATCGGGGTCGATCAGCATGAGGCACATTTGGAAAGCGACTGAAAACCATATCACGGGTTGACCCAAACCTTGTGAGTGAAATTGGGTAGACGGAACTGTTGGGGGCCGTTGATAGCTGCGCTAGTACGATTCCACAAGTCATCGTGGCCGAGGGCGTGAGGTTACTGGCTTTGTCCAAATTGTTGATCACGCTAGATAACACGCTCTCACCCAGAAATTTTAACTGAGGTCTGTTCAGGATAGTTGCAGTATAAACCACATATTGGCTCTGTGGATGTTGAGCAAATCCAATATGCCTGAACATAGCGTTTGCAATAGAGATTGGCTAGCAGTCGTAGTAGACGGATATCCTCGAATACGAGTGGCCAGATTATGTATATATGTATATGGGCTAGCGGCCAAGTGGTTAGAACGTTCGCTTTCTGGACATGAGACTCAAGTTCGAATTTCATGATCAATTATTTGGTTATATCGACATGGGTAAGCCATCCCACCCTCGGTCTCCCCAGAAAATATCTGACAACCTTACCACAATTTTAACCCAAGCCTTGTGAGCAAAAATGGGTAGACGGAATTGTTCGAAAGTCGTTGATGATCTATTTCAGTCGGTCGACCTAAATACGTCACAAGTCATCGTGGCCGAGGGTTTAAGAGTGCTAGCCTTGGTCAAAAAAATTGTTCAAGCCAGATTATGCGCTTTCTCTCAGAAACTGTAACCAATGGCTGTTCAATATTGTTCAAGTATAAACCACAGATGGACTCTCTGGGTAGACCGTCCATCTGTTATAGGGACCACGCTGGCAGACGAGTGTGATCGCAGACGAGTATCCGATCATTTTTATCTATCTATTTTTGTATAGATGAATGAATATATGTATGTATGTCTGTTTTACTATGCGTAGCTTAGGATCGAACAAGGTCAAAGCTGTTGAGATTTCTTTGATTGATTGATTGATTGATTCGTTTTCTACGGCTTATGGGGGTTATTTAAAATATTTTTAGATTGAAAGAATATTTTTTTTTTGATAAGGGTTAGGTACCTATTCTGTTGTAATGGACTCTCCATATAGATAATAAGTAGGATTAGCAGTGGTAAGTCTGGCAGAACGGTGCCTCGCGGTCTCTGACTGCGGACGCCTCCTGTCGAACTCTCTGCATTAGCAGAGGAACCCGGACGAGCTTTGCCGAAGGGCAAGGAGTTTCGACGGGGGAACCCGTCGGAAAGGCTATTTTTTTTGGGCCTACGAACCCGTTTAATCTTTTCCGTGGGTGAAAAGCTAAAACCGGCCTATTTTTTCCTGTCGCCGAGCCTACCGAGGGCTCGTCCGGGAAACCCCGTTTAATAAAAAAGGCGGCCTTGTGCCATATTCTTTTCCGTGGGTGAAAAGATAAATACCGAACGGTGCCTCGCGGTCTCTGACTGCGGACGCCTCCTGTCGAACTCTCTGCATTAGCAGAGGGAACCCAGACGAGGCTTTGCCGAAGGGCAAGGTTTCGTCCGGGGGGTAGGCGGGGCCTGAACCCGTTTAATCGGCTTCAAAAGGCTATTTTTTTGGCCGAGCCTACGGGCTCGGAGAAACCCACAAAAACCGGCCTTGTGCCATATTCTTTCCGTGGGTGAAAAGATAAATACCGAACGGTGTTGAGCGGTCTCTGACTGCGCACCCACCTTTGCCGAAGGGCAAGGTTTCGTCCGGGGGAGGTAAACAGTCGAACCCTTTGCATTATTTTTTTTTGCAGAGCCTACGAAAAGATAAATACCGAACGGTGAGAGCGGTTTGCCGAACCTTCTAATCAAGGAACTTCGTCCGGGGAGGTTGCCGAAGGGCAGGGTCCTGAACCCTGTCCCGTCTCGGCTTCAAAGGCTATTTTTTTTGGCCGAGCCTACGGGCTCGGAGAAACCCACAATACAACCGGCCTTGTGCCATATTCGTTTCTCGTGGGTGAAATGATAAATACCAAACGGTGTTGAGCGGTCTCTGACTGCGCACGCCTTCTGTCGAACTCTCTGCATTAGCAGAGAGGAACCCGGACAAGCTTTGCCGAAGGCAAGGTTTCGTCCAGGAGAATGAACAGGGCCTGAACCCGTCTAATCGGCTTCAAAAGGCTATTTTTTTGGCCGAGCCGACAGGCTCGGAGAAACCCACAATAAAACCGGCCTTGTGCCATATTCGTTTCCCGTGGGTGAAATGATAAATACCGAATGGTGTTGAGCGCGTCAGTCGAGATTCGGACATTTTAAGTACCAACCATCACAACTAGATTTTCTGCGTCATTGACTCTTATTTTCCAAGTTCCTAACGTTTTGTACGTCGGACCTAATTTAGGACGACTTATTAGAAATACAAGCCTCCACTGTGAAAACACCCCACAACAATAAGTCTTACTAATTAACCCATAGATAGGGAGAGAAGAGGCGGATTCATAATTTTCGCAAGTAATATAACGAATCCGACTGAAATTTTTAACTCTGCTCACCGATTAAAAATTCGGGGCTATTACACCACCCGCACTTCCCAGCTTAGAACAGACGACATTCCCAAGTGGTTACACATCTTGGTACTAACCAGGATGGACGTTGTTTACATTCGGTGATCGTAATGGAACCATTGTTACGACCTCAGCAAACAGCTGTTGAGTCATTTAGGTATTAATCAGTCTTTTTTTTTTTACATTAAGATTCACACTTTACAAGGCACGGTGTGTCAGGTCACTCGAGGTAGAGGATTACGTTAGGAGGCAATTTGTGTGGATAGGAGTTGTAGATCACTGTTAACATCTTGAACATTATTAAGATCGTAGGGATCGGGGAAACATCCTCTTAGAAATCCGCTGGAATTTGTCTGCAAGCTACGCTTACAAATTAATTACCAATTGCAGATTTTTATTTTATTATTGATCCTAAGTAGAAAATGTTCTACAACGAAACAAGTAGGATCGCCATGGCGCGTTCAAACTCTGGCGTAGACTGTTGCATTTAGAAAGAAATGAATCCAATTCTTCCCTCAACTACGGGTTAAATATCAAGATAGACTGAGCTCTATAGCAGGGGTCGGCAACATATCACGCGGGCCAAGCAATTTCCAATGGCACACAGCCGTAAATAACATCACGAAGTCCGATCCAATAACTACTAAAACGCAAAGAAGATATTTAGCTGTTTCAATTTTAATATATAAAGTATAATATATAAAGTATATATGCTATATATTACTATATAAAATATATTATAAAACAAGTATATTGATATAGACTTGTATAAAAATGTATGCTGTTGGCGCATTGAATGATTATAAAACCATAAGTCGGCACATAGCAAAAGGTTGCCGATTCCTGCTCTATAGCTTTGGGCGGTATTTAATCTAGAAGTCTTTTTTCTGTGTGCTGGTTACTTTAAGGAATTAGCGATCATGACTCTCCACAATTTCCTGTATTTTGTAGCTCTTAATAAATTTTGTCACTTTGCCATCTCTCCAAACCATGTCCCGCCTCCTGGGTATGAAGATAAACTACGTCCAAGAGCAAAACCTCTGATCAGGAGGTTTTGAGGAGCGTGGAACCACCTCTTAATTGCTGGTGTTCCCAGGTCCACCCTGACCCGGGATGGTAGCACATGTTAGGGGTCTCAGCTATGGGCAAATACTTAACTCCCAAACTGGGATCAGAACACTATGAAAGTGTAAAAATAGGTTTTAATATCAGAAATACTTTGTAAAAAAAGTTATTACTAGTAATAAGTTTTTGAAGAAAAATTATTACCAGTAATACTTTTTTGAAAAAAATATTACCAGCCAGCTATTCTTTTTTGAAAAAAAATTCATAGCGATACATTTTTGAAGAAAAAATATTACCGCAAATAGATTTTTGAAGGAAAAGTTTTTTACCAGCAATACATTTGAAAATAAAATATTACCAGCAATAAAAAAAAAAACTTGTCGGTATTAAATATCTCATTGAGGTTGATATGCCGTAAAACAAAACAAAACAAACAAAAAGCAAACCATGTTCCGCCAAATATTTACACAAGCTTGCTGGGAAGATTGCGCGTTTCTTTTCTCTGTCTCACCTTCAATCTGCCCTGTGAGTATCAAATATTCCAAGCCCTCATTCCTACAAGCCCTACAAACTTCAACTAGATGTTACGCATACGTGTCATTTTATTGCCATTATCTCTAGAACTTCGTCGTTGCTCACATGTTCGGTCCATGATATTCTCAGCAGCTTTTTATAGAACCACATTTGTGTTGCTTCAAATATCTTCTTCTGTTAACGAGATTATCCAACATTCACTGTCATAAAAATGGGCTGATACTACATCACAGTTCAGCATTATTTTCTTTGTTTCTAGCGATATTTTTCTATTTCATAATAGTTTTGGATGGCATCATTCGCTGTCCCAATGCACCTTCGTAGTTTCGTCTCTCACTTTCCGTCCTCTGTTAATACGTTTCTCAGATATCTAAATTTTTGTACCAAAATAGAGGGTAATAGGCATCAGGTAAATCCCTCCATAATTTTTCCCGCTAAGTCATGTCAATTCACCAATAATAATGGAAAGGAATGTGTGGATAATAATGATCGCCAACGTCCCGAAATGACTTGATAATAATAATAATAATAATAATTTTTTTTTTTTTTTTTTTTTTTGTCAGTGGAAAGTGTCATGACGCCATTTCTAACCTTAGGTCCCTGGGCGGGACCCGGAAAGAAATGTGTAAACGCCAGAAATCAAAGAAAATAATAATAATAATAATAATAATAATAATAATAATAAAGTCAGTAGAGAGCAACAAACTTCTGGTCAGGCTACACATCCAAGGCTAAAACTACATCATGAGTAACGGCCACAAATGCCGTCATTTTACCTAGACGATTCATGACAAATTACAATCGCTACAGTTCCCAGTTGGATTGCAACAAAATAGATTAGAAATTAAATATTTAAATCGTTTCTGCCTTTCCTAATTTATTTTCTTTGCAAGGAGACAACTTTCATCTTAGCGTCTATTTTCGTTCTCATTCAGCCATTGCTAACTTTTATTAAATTCCCCCTTTTTCTTGTCTTTGAGTGTCTGTTTATTCCTCTTTTCTTTATACCGCTATTTCTTTCTTGAAGTCATTTCACTTTTCCTTCTTTGGTCTCCCTTTTTCCTTCAGAATTAATTCGTCATATGCCATCCGTTTCATGCACTTTCTATGCATGTAATGTTTCTGTATTTTCACATCCTTATTCTTTCCTTGAAGCCATTCTTCATCCTTCAAACGAATAATTTTCTTTCTTTTCATTCTTCGTCTTTCTTCAATCAGTTTTTCAATTTTTGTTCCCTCTATTTTTATTTTTATTACCTCTTCTTATTCGAATAAATATTTCTTACCACTTCTTGCTCGGATCCATATTTCTTACCTCTTCTTGTCCGGATCCATATTTCTTATCTATTCATATACTGATCGATATTTCTTACCACTTCTTGTCCGGATCCATATTTCTTATCTCTTCTTATTCGGATCCATATTTCTTACCACTTCTAATTCGGATCCATATTTCTAACCTCTTCTTGTTCAGATCCATATTTCTTGCCTCTTCTTATTCGGATCCATATTTTTTACTTCTTCTTGTCAGGATCCATATTTCTTACCTCTTCTTGTTCGGATCCATATTTCTAACCTATTCTGGTTCAGATCGATATTTCTTGCCTCTTCTAATTCGGATAAATATTTCTTACCTCTTCTTGTTCGGATCCATATTTCTTACATCTTCTTATTCAGATCCATACTTCTTACCTCTTCTTATTATGATCCATATTTCTTACCTCTTCTAATTCGGATAAATATTTCTTACCTCTTCTTATTCGGATCCATATTTTTTACCCCTTCTAATTCGGATCCATATTTATAACCTCTTCTTGTTCAGATCGATATTTCTTGCCTCTTCTAATTCGGATGAATATTTCTCCTTATTCGGATCCGTATTTCTTACCTCTTCTTATTCGGATCCATATTTTTTACATCTTCTTGTCCGGATTCACATTTCTTACCGCTTCTTGTTCGGATCCATATTTCTAACCTTTCCTTATTCAGATCCATATTTCTAACCTTTCCTTATTCAGATCCATATTTCTTGCCTCTTCTAATTCGGATAAATATTTCTTACCTCTTCTTATTCGGATCCATATTTCTTACCTCTTCTAATTCGGATAAATATTTCTTATCTCTTCTTTTCCGGATCAATATTTCTTACCTCATCTTATTCAGATCCATATTTTTTTACCTCTTCTTGTTCAGATCGATATTTTTTACCTTTTCTAATTCGGATCCATATTTATTACCTCTTCTTATTCGGATCCATATTTCTTACCTCTTCTTGTTCAGCTCCATATTTCTTGCCTCTTCTAATTCGGATAAATATTACTTACCTCTTCTTATTTTGATCCATATTTATTACCTCTTCTAATTCGGATAAATATTACTTACCTCTTCTTATTTTGATCCATATTTATTACCTCTTCTAATTCGGATAAATATTACTTACCTCTTCTTATTTTGATCCATATTTATTACCTCTTCTAATTCGGATAAATATTACTTACCTCTTCTTATTTTGATCCATATTTATTACCTCTTCTAATTCGGATAAATATTACTTACCTCTTCTTATTTTGATCCATATTTATTACCTCTTCTAATTCGGATAAATATTTCTTATTTCTAATTCGGATAAATATTTCTTACCTCTTCTAATTCGGATCCATATTTATTACCTCTTCTAATTCGGATCCATATTTCTTCGTACTTTCTATTTCTGCATTTCAATTTTTTCTGCATAAAAATATGTCGGAAAATTGAAATACAGAAATAGAATCTATGAAAAATCTTTTTTCACGTATTCTTTGCTTCCAACGGTTTTTAATCTTAGTCTTATTATTTGTTTATTTATTTACCTCATTCCTTTTGTTCGTCCCCAGCTTTAATGGCGTACGTGATATTCGCTTGGACGATCATATCTCTTTTGAGTGATGACTGACATAGCAGAAGATTTTCCCGCAGTTGGTTGCCTGTTCTCTCTGTGATAGACCGAGTGACAAACAGGTCTAAAGGACACAGTCTGTCCTGATATTCAAACCATAGTTGTTGGGAAAGAAAAGATGGATTTACTGGGTATAACAGTAGAATTGCCCAAATCGTGTAACAGCATAATTGTCCAATTGTTAAGCTTTGAACCGTTGTATGTTAGAAATGATTAAAAATATCTTACTGGAATTCTCCAATGCCTTTGTAAGACTATAGAACTCAAATTTGAGCAATAAGAATGTATAATTACTCTCCAGGCTTACCAGAAGAATCGTGATGAAATCGATCATAAATTCTAATTAAACATATCTAAAGATCAGATGTTCATGAAGTATTGAAATAAAGTTCATATATATATATATATATATATATATAGAGAGAGAGAGAGAGTGAGAGAGAGAGAGAGAGGAGGTGCGGTCGAATAATGGATAACGGCTTAGTTAGAGGAATCGGAGAGCCGAGTTCGAATTCCAGTTTGCTCATCCATTTTATCAATACCCGAAATTCACAAGCATATGAATGTAATGAAATATTGTAAGCATTAACAAAGAAAAAAATACTCTTTGAATAATGACTTAAGGGAGAATTACTTTTTGAATCACGTCAACGCAAGATTGCACATGACAGAAAAAAGAATGAAACCTGAAAAAGATTCACTGTATAGTATATACCGGGTGTAACAGCAAAATTTTCAAAATCCTGTAACAGTAAAATTGTTCAATTGTTAGATTAAGCTTTGAATGTTAGAAATGATTAAAGATATCTTACTGGAATTCTCCAATGTTTTTGTAAGACTATAGGACTCAACTTTGAGCAATAAGAATGTATAATTACTCTCCAGGCTTAACAGAAGAATCGTGATAAAATCGATCATAAACGAAAATAACATGTTCATCATTAATTAATCATACCTAAGGATCAGAAGCTTATGAAGGATTGATGTAAATTCCATATATATATATATATATATGTATAATTCCAGGATCATTTTGCAACTTATTCAAAATGTTATACGCCCCCTCTAACCTTCTAACTTTCTGACCGGCAGCCAAAATTTACCTCCTAGGTTTCAAGTGAGATTTCATTTTCAAGTTTTTTTTCAATGCTCTTTGGACTGTCATAGCTGAAGCTCTAGTCTCACAAGCCAAACGTTTTATGAATTGAGTTGGATCTTTTCTAGTTGAAATGTAATGATGATCCCTCTTGCTGTCGTTACCTCCTTATCTGGTTTTCTTCTTTACTGTTCCGTCTTTTTTAACTTATTCACCGTTCTCTTGATGGTTCTTGAATGCACATTGGATATGGAAGCCAGAGTATGAATGTTGGTAGTATTACTGAAGGCTTAAATGATCTTTTTCTTCTCACCATTGATCACTTGGGAAGAGAGTGGGTCTGGTACAAAATAGCTTTAACCTGTTCTCGTTCTAGCTCTTTTCAGTGATTCTTACAACAAATGGTATCAAGATAGCTAAACGTCTCATCTTTAAACCTAAAAAAGAAAGAAACTGAATTAGTTAAGTATTTTGTTAGATATTAAACATTTTATAGAATGGGTAATTATGCTGTAACACGATTTGGACAACTTTGCTGTCACACCCTGTATATATTATGCTTCGTTGTATATATATATATATATCTATAGTATAATGAATCATGTGTAATTGCTATTGTATACTAAACTGAAGTAGACATATATTTTATTTATTTCCTAATGTGGCTCGTTCATAGTGAAAGTGTTTATAACTGATCTTATTCAGTGTTGGATTATTGTAATATGGTTAAACCTAGGGAAGGTTACTGAGCAGAATAATCACACGAAGGTTGGTAACGAATGATAATACTTAGGACAAGAACAACGCATATAAGATTCGCCAGCGGCGGGTAGAAGTAGTAGTCAACTGCTAGAATTGAGTCAGGTGAATTCCAAAATGAATCTCCACTGCAGGATATTTACCGACCGCCCCACGCGGTCAAATGTGGCACAAGGCCGAATTTAATGTGGAATATCTGAGCCCGTAGGCTCGACCAAAAATTCCCCGTAGATCCCGTATAAAACTGTGTCGGGTAGCTCTTCCCCAAGACGAGACTCTGCCCTTCGACATAGCCTTGCGTGGGGATCTTCTCTGCCCGGAGGCATAGAGTTCTACGATCTTAGCTGGAGACGGATCTCCGACTGAAGGATATTTGACAACCGCTACACGCGGTCAGATGTGGCACAAGGCCGAATTTAACGTGGGGTTTACGAGCCCGTATGCTCGGGCAAAAATTCCCCGTAGACTACGTAAAAAACGGGGTCTGGTAGCTGTCTAGCTCCCCATAGCCTCGTCTGGGTTCCTCCCTGCCCGAAGGGAGAAAGTTAGACTAGCTTAGCTGGAGACGAATCTCCAACTGAAGGATATTTGCTAACCGCCCCACGCGGTCAGATGTGACACAAGGCCGAATTCAACGTAGGCTCGGGCAAAATTTCCCCGTAGACTACGTAAAAAACGGGGTCGGGTAGCTGTCTACCACCCCAGACGAGATTCTGCCCTTCGGCATAGCCTCGTCTCGGTTCCTCTCTACCCGAAGGCAGAGAGTTCGACTAGCACAGCTGGCGACCAATCTCCGACTGAAGGCCAACAGTCAGTTTTTACTGCTGTATTTATGTGAATGGGGACATAAACATTATCGGCGTAGGTATGCTGCAACAAATAAGAAGACAAATCTTGTCAATAAAACACTGAAACGTGTTGCTATATATATATATATATATATATATAGGGAAGCGGTTATAGTTGTTCCAACGAGAGAAAAGTGTATATATTAAAAAAAGGAGAGAAATCCCAAACGTTTTTGGTTGTAATGTGGATTTGTTATTAAAAATATATATTATGCTTTATTTTACATAATTTTGCAACATGGGTTTCGGATCTCGCGACCTTCTTCAGACAAAGTGTGGATATTTCCACATATATATATATATATATATATATATATATATATATATATATATATATGCATGTATACAGGCAGGGATGAGAATGAATAGAGTACAGTTTCAACATTCGTAACATTCAATTTAAAAGTGGGCTCAGTACAGTGTAAAGCAAAATATCAGTACTAATATTTAATTAGTATTTTTACATCTTGCATAGATTGGTTACTATTATTAACATCTTATATGGATGCTCTTTATTTAATAGTTGCATATTAATTTGCCAAATAATTCTATACGTTTAAATTATTTACTAGTTTTTTAAAGAGGCTCCTTTTATAAATAAGAGTTTATGTCAGAAGCTCACAAAGCATATAACTATTTAATATTTATGTTAGTTACCTCCCTATCCGCTGCGTTTTTATTTCCTCGGAAAGTTGATTGTCTGACTTGTATACACTTTACGAAATAACACAACCATCTGTATCAGTCTTTAAGTTAATGTCTGGGATCTGTTTGCAGATAACTTCCTGCCATGACCCATTGCTAACATATTTTTTTTTTTTTTTTTCTTTTTCACTTAGATTGAATTTAACTTAGGTCGTATTCGATTGGTTAATCACAGTAAAAATTTCAGGAACTTTTTTTTTCTCGAAAAAAGAGTAGCTATATTGCTTTTGAATTAATCGTTAACTCGCCAGTAGTTTACAATCGTCTGCGGAGACGCATTGATATGAGTTAAAACACGATCGCAACTGTGTAACGATTTTTGCATGTTTTTGTTTTAATATCCTAAAATAATATATATATATATATATATATATATATATATATATATATATATATATATATATTTACGAATGCATAACTTTTGTAATTAATATTGATAATATCTTTTACCTCTGAATTTTGAT